CTGATGTCAGTCTTGTATAATTAATCTGTTAGTACAGAGAAACTGCAAACAGGTATATTAGGAAACATTTCTGCATACTGTATACTCTAGAAATGGGGCACATCTATAGTGTACTATAGTATTCTGACTGATACGCTTGGCAGGGAGGCAGAGCAGCAGGCATACTGTATGGGCAGCAACACAAATCCATACATGTGTGCAGCACACACAGCAAGACAAATGGCCACACTCAGCAGGAAGACGGGACAAGTGGCAAGATTGAGTGAGAGCTGCGAGGGTTTATGTAGACGCAGGCGCACAGGCATGTAAGCCAGAAACAATGCAGGCATATACAGGAAGATAGGATACGTGGCAGACAGACTGTAGTGGAGGAACAACATAATAAAGGCCTTAATTATTTCTTAGTGTGTGGGCTTAGCTGCATTAACAAAATAAACTCCCCTTTGGGATTGATAAACATCTATCTATCATCTGGCAAGTTCGGAAATGTATGTAAACTAAGCAAATATCTTGTAAGAAATGTTTTGTTTGGAGGCCTTAACAGGGCTGGCAGTAGTTTTAGGGTTATTTGTTCATGCTCATGAACACATCACTGCACTTTCTCACCGTAGGTTTGACCCACATGCACAGACTCATAATTCAGAACAAGCAGGAATATCCTTTAATAAACACAGCCATAATTAAATGAAAATCTCATTACTTTGACTTCCTGGAGAACCATGTTATCTTTAGTGATACCTCACTGTGTACCAGTATAAAAACAAAAACAAACCAGCCAATCAAACTGTCACAGAGATGTTTGAACAGTCCCTCCTCTGCCCCTCACATCCTGTTATAACAAGAGATAACATCCAATTAAGGAAGAAAAATGCACTCAAAATGATGTTTTTTTCTCAACTCTAAATATATTTATAAATTCTTCATTTCAAGTGTGCATTTTGGTGTACTGTTCATTTAGAATTTGGATCAGCTATGTGTGGTTTTATTGGCTGTTCAATTTGTGTTAAAATCATTAGCAAGTAACACAACAGACAAAGAGCTCGTGTTTGATCCATGAGTGGACACAAGTGTCTTTGTGTGCACACATTGACAATTGGATTGTCTTTAATTTCGTTTTTTTTTGTTGATAGAATTGCTGCACTTGTTGCCTTGAAAGCCAGAGGAAGTTCAGCTGTTTGTCAGCGGGGGCTTCTTAATTTACAACATCTGAGGAAACGGGTCGGAAAGAACCCCTGCAGGCTGAAGATACACTGATGTGAAGCCAGGCTGTCAGGGCATCAGAGCGCCCAGAACTTTCCAGCAGAGACCATCCTATTTAGGTTACTGTGATTCAGGAAATTGTTCCCGTTAACTCCTCAACCCTGGAATCAGAACATCCTGTTCTCGTATATTTTTCTCCTCCACTTAAACTGATCATATTCCTGTTTTGGAAGAGAAAACGCCCTCGGTTGTTTACTACATGATAATCTCTACCTTACGGTTTTTCATTTTTTATGATCAGCCTCTGATGCCTTGTTGCATGTTTTGTCTTTGAAACTGCAGCTCTGATATCAGCTTCTGTCAGCTGCAGGTAATGTTGTTTCTGTTTGCTTTGGAAAGAACCCGTTCAACGTAGGATTTGAAATATAAAATTTCCTTTACAGAGGTGAGGAAACAGGAGGGCGTGATCATTGCTCATCATTGCAGGTCATTGTTAACAGCTTGTCATGTTGGCCATTGATGGTGAAAATCATGAACACAAAAACAACCTGAAATTAACATTACATAGCTGCCCGATAGTGTTCCAGTCACTGACAGGTCATTGTTGATAAGAGATAACGAACCGCTCTCTTTTATTGAGCTGTGTGAGCAATAATTCATTTTGCCTCAGACATGTATGTTCCATGTAAAATGCATTTCTGTGAAGCACATGCGGGACGTGAAGAGCAGTTTAATGCATCAGACTCAGCTTACCGCAGCAAATAGACAGAGCTTAACAGAAATCTGCATTTATTGTGGAAGGTCATTATTATGGCTGAAAGCAATCTGACAGATTGGATGGGTGAAACCCTAAACCTGATGCCAAGTGTAGGTTGTTTTATTTTTGTTTGTTTTTTTCGATTCCGCTTCCAGCCCGTGGGACCTTCTTTCGGAAAAAATATGTACAGTAGTCAATGGCGAGCGACAACTTATCTTTTGATTCTGTTTGAACTGTGCCCTGAATTTCTTTGGCACTTTAAAAGATCATTTTTCTCTGTCAGGAAAGTTGCAGTTTGTCGTAAAACAGTAAAGTTACATGTCGTTTTGTGTGAAAATCTTTCAACGAACTACATCTCTCATCTCGCACAATATACGTCACCAACATGTTAGCGCGGTAATGCTAGCTAATGGTCAATGCTTGGTTGCTGCTAGCAAGATAACTTAGCTATGTTCCACGCAGAAATATATCTCACCTGGTGTGTTTAATCCAACGACTCTCTGTCCTTTTATCACATCAGCCTCTCATGTACGTTCTTTGACGTTAGCTTCAGTCATTGAGAGAAAAAGTTGCGACGTCACATAGGCGACTTTTGGTTTTGTGGTCTTTGTAATTATGTATTTTCACAGTCTTATACTTCAACAGTTTTACATCAAACTGCAACTTTCAACATATATATATATATATATTTAAGATTGACTATCATCATCAGAGCACAAATTAAAAATATAAGATAAATTTGTATTGTTTCTACAAGCTAATGTTCTTCTGTTGCTTCTCAAATCTCAAATTACTGCGGTATCCTGGCAAAGAGGCATTTCTAAAAGCAGTGATATAGTACCTATATACATACAGTATATTTAGAACAACAGTACAGTAGACTTTATTTGTTATCACTGGGATGAAAGGTCATGAAAGTCACTCTGTACATATAGACATATATAGACATCTAGTTTATGACATAAACTATACTGTAAGTAGGCTACTAAACAGATATGAGTAAGGATATCTCAACATTCGAGTTGTGAGATTTTTATCCTGACAGCAGTGTTGTGCAGGGCCCCTCCCAATCCTGGTGCTGCAGGCCTCATTTTGTAAAGAAGTCACACACACACACACACACACACACACACACACACACACACACACACACACACACACACACACACACACACACACACACACACACATCTGTGGCCTCCCTTTCCTCTGTCCTTCTTTCAGATGAGTCCATATGGCAGCTGTCATGTTGCCTGCTCTCTTTTTATCAAAGTCAGATCACTGCTGCTCTCATCTCCACTGTCAGCTGATGTTTATATATATATATATATATATATAAATATAAGTGTTTCTTGTGGGAACTAGTATGTGCTATACATCCTTCAGTAAAGCAGAATGTCAGGTTTAATCAAGCATTGAAGAAGCTGTACTGAAAATTGTTCAATGCATGAAATTATCTCCCAGCCTAAATACACAGTATTCCTGTACAAATTTCCCTTGTGTTCAGATTTAATTGTGGTGACGTGCGTGTGTCTGTGTCCTCGACACAGGAAGTGACCCACCTTAATATTTGAGCAAAACCCAAAGCAACATTAAAACGTTGTCCTCGTTCACCTGTTTGCTTTTCTCTAGAGTTTAATGTCACAGAGTAGCTGCAGCAGTGAACATGAATGAGCAGTGTGCAGTTCACTGACGTCACGTTACAGGATTTCTGGATATTAGGTAATGGCTGTCTGTTGAGGCTTTGCAGTCTTTCATGTTTTGAACAAAAATAGGTAATACAATTTGTTGCCATTGATTGGAATTAATCAGTCACATTAAAGGCTGTGATCTTCAGCTTACAGCATCATATCAGTATCTGTGTTTTGTTCTCTGGTAGTTTAGCTCAGGTAAAACAACAAACACCAAAAATATACTGAACAATTACAAATAGTTTAAAAGACATGAACCATATCCATCCAAAATATTTAAGAAAAAATTATTCGTTATGTATAATTCACAAGCAAACATTTTAATGTTTCCATAAATTTGCACCAACATATCAGATATCAGTGCAGAGTTCAAAATATGTTTCAATAATACGTTTGGACATACAAAACTATTACAAATATGTTGAACTCTTGTCTGTTTGGGAAAAGATGAAAACAAATAAACAATATACAACAATATTTTGAGTTAAACAGGGTATAAAATAACTTTTAAAGTGTGTGAGTTTTAAAAAAAAACATTTATAGACCTTACATACATACACAGAATAGAATTTGCTGATTCTTTGTTTACAAACATTTACATCAACATTACCAACCACAGCATGCTAAACACATCCTTAACCAGCCCCTCCTTCTTTGTGATTGTTCGCAAATGCCTTTGATTTTGCCACAATGATTTTGTGGCACCTTTTCTAAATGAGCTTTCTCAAAATGTTTAAACACTATATTTGTTTTCCTAAACAGTGTTCTTAAATCACACGCACACACACACAGTTCAGTGTGCAAACAAGGCAGTAGGCCACGCCTACGTCACTCTGTGATAAACTAAATTAACGTTACCTCTATCAATGCATAGTTATGCCAGCTTACCTAGATTCTTTCAGCAATTGCAAATGATTGGGATGCAGCAGCCTGTGTCAGAGTGATCGTCCGACGTCCTCCATGCGTTTCTGCCATTCTTCACGTATGTTTTGCAGTGGCAAAGTGTTAAGACACAGTATTGCACGTTTTGCAAAAGAGTTGACCCCTGCTTTCATAAAGAATATCTGGATACTGTTTTCACTGTCCTTTGCTATTATTTTTGTAAGCAAATGTGAGACATTGGTATCACACGTCTGCTGTGACTCGTAAATGGGAAAGTGAGTTTGCTGACGTGTGACAACGTTTTGCAGGAAACGGTGATGGTAGGTCAGCTTTGCAGAAAAGTTATGGTGATAGGTCACAATTGCACTGAATTCACAGGGATTGGTTGAATATGTGTTAACAGTTGGGATCGCGACATCAGGAAATCCTGGAGGGACTGCTTAACAAACACTTGTGTTCTTCTCTTGCAGTGTGGAGACTGGTGAACGAGTGGATGTGAAACAAAGAGAAAGAAAGACTTGAAGAAGCAGAGGATCTCAACAGGACTGCCCCTGTTCACATGGAGCTTTTCTGGGGGATTTTCTCAGCTGCTTTCAAAGCCGAGGCTCTTCACTAACTTTAACAACTCCCTTTCCACTATTTTTACTTTATTGTTATTGTTGCTGGGATAGAGGTTACGGACCTCTTCCCTTTTCTCGTCTGCTGTTTTGTTCTAAGCAAGACCAAAACCAGGTGCCAAACTGACTGTGTCAAGAGAAAAAGCAAAAAATCTATGAAACTAACCATCACCAAATCATCATAAGAAGAGTTTATTTAGTCATTTAGCTTTTGAAAACAAGATTTAGTAACAATATTAACTTTATTTCTCCCCAACTCCTGAAACATACATAGACATTACATCCAATTAAAATCATATTTAGTCTCAACACATCACAGCATATTGAAGAGAGACTTTATAAAACCGAACAGAACAACCGTAAAACTTAATATCCATTGTCTTCGGTCAGTGTTTGCATAGCTGCTGCTCTTAATGCTGAAACTGAGAGATTTTCCTTACCAGGATGATGATCAGTGCATTATTGGTTCAAAGTGCTTTATAAACAGATCCTCCAGCCGATGGTTCGCTTGTAATTGTGTGTCACAGAAGAGGCGCGCCGAAGCAGTGATAACTCTGGATCTGACGCCGTCTGAATACTTTAAAGCTTCGGCAGGACGGCGTTTGACTGATAGGCAACACGAACTACGTCTAACCCGATAAATATAGGCACCACCGCTGCTGCTGCTGTTATCAAAGGCTTGGAGATATACCGCCGTCTCAGTCTGCGCTGTGAAACACTGTTGGCACTTTGCTCCTTCTTCCAGTTGCTTATATGAGAGAGGCCTCTCACTCTTTGTCGTCTTCTGTTTCTTCCACACGTGGCGCTCGATTACGCCACGCTGAACAACCTGAAAGCCCCCTTTATCTAATCCCAGTGACCTCTTCAACTCTTTTGCATTCTTCCTTTTATTCTACTACAACCATGCAATTTTAAAACCTTTCACTGTATTTAGATTTTTTGTGGAAGGAGATCAAGTTTGTAAAAAACAAATAAACAAGAGGACATAACCTAAAGCCATACTGAACACCAGCCATAAAAATACCTTTCACATTTACCGAACACCTCACAATGTTTAAGATTTCTTCAACAAAGTGATCCTCAAACACATCAGTGCACATACACATTCAGGGAGTCAGTGAAGAAACTGCTAAACCCTAAATTGCATACATTTGGATGAAAGAACAGCTTTGTAAGTTCAGACTTTTCTACCTGTGTCTTTCTAGATCGCACTCCGTGCTAACTCGCCTGCGGTGTCAAGCGTGGCAGTGAACGTGACCGTGTCGAGTTCCCGGTTGTCGCCCCGTGTTCCTCTGTGTTGACGGATGAATCCGGACATTTTCATGTCTGTTCTGTGGGCAGAACCTCGCTGCCCTGCTAGAACCGGGCCCAAGCCCTCCTTCGTTCTCTTCTGTTGGGCCAAGCTAAATTCAGAGCAAAGACACTCACACAAGGGTATCGAACGCACATAGATCCTCACGTTTTTTAGAATCTTTTCTTTCTGTGATTTTGTCTCCAGTTTCTCGCTATTGATCACTCTTTTGTGAATGCCTTTTCATGCTCATTCATTGACCTGATCTCTGTCCTCTAAACATTTGATGCTGCTTAACGCTTTCATTCAGCAGTACCTTTATTAGTCCAACTCACTGTCCACAACTTCTAAATTCACTGTTCTACTGTAATTTCAAGCATATTGACCTTTACTGGTTCTCTTCCTATTAATAGTTTCAAGGGAAGAGCTTGTGTATTGGCAAATTATGAGCATGATATAAAAAAAAAATACAAATTTAAGTCACAGCTTGTGCCAAATTCAGACCGACTTCCTCTCAGCTTGTTCAGTGAACAAAGCTGAGATCTCTAAAGCTGCCAGCACTGTTGTTTACAGACACGAGAGACACACGGCTCGAGGATTTAAATTTGATTTGAGAAACATTATTTTTCCCATGTATGATTTTACACATCAGTTATCCACACAGGACAAAAGAAGTGCCAGACTCGAACAAGAATAGATCCAACATCTGTTAAAGCTCATCTAACGTGAAAACTAAAGTTTACATAAAGCGCTAAATGTTTACAGACTACATTTTCCATTGCAGTTTCTTACGTGAACTGTTGTGCCATAAACGACTCCCAGAAAACTCTTCAGTAGGAGATATAAAACTCTTTTTTTCTGGAGGGGTCATTATATTAAAAGAGTTTACAGTTTTCTTGCTCTCATTTTGTTTACAGGAAATGTCAAAAGATTACTGCCTATTTTGAAGATTTTAAATTTTGGCCAACAGACTGTAAAATGTCACTTTGTCGACTGACAGACCAAAATTAAATACTTGCTGCCATAAAACAAGCAACATTGTTCTATATTTATAATCAGTTTTCATTTGAATTGATTATTTCAGAACTACAGCCATTTCACAGGCAGTTCATATAGGGCCTAAAAACTCTGAAAGACCTCAATGTTTACAAAAGCTGCTTAAGGGAAGGATTTTGCTGCGTTCCATTTACCTCGGAAGTCGGAGCTGGGAATGACGTCACACCCGAGTTCCAGTTAACAAGTCGGAAAACCTCCCTCGGCCAGCCATTGTTTACAACTAGCCGGGTTAGCTATTGATACGCCACATTGTACGGTATTTACTCATACTAAACACTGTAGCAACACGACCACAGACAGCAGTTGGACAGCACTTTGTGTACGAAGACTTATGAGTCACAAGTACACAGAAGAGCTAGTAAACAGTATAAACTACAGCTACTACAACTAGCAACTACAACTGTTCATACCCCGACAGCCATCTTGGATCACGAAGTCGGGGTAGTGCGGTTCTCCTGACTTCCGACTTAAGGGGTCGTTCCCTTTGAAATTTTGACCTTTGGACTCGGAAATTCCGACTTCCCATGTCGAATGGAACGCACCATTTGTATACGGAGAGAAATGTTTACATTTAGGTGAAAGACTGAAAAGCCAAACATTGCTTGAACAAAGAGAATCTGCTGAACTCCGAGAGAAACCCTTTGCACCTGTGCAGTGTGTGCAGAACAAAAAAGGATTCATCCCACTGGAGTTAAAACTTTTCATACAAAACTCCAAGAAGCTGCCATCTTGGAAGTGGACGCTGATAAGGAGGAGTGTTTATGTGAATTGTTTTTACGACTGCTCAAGAAATTTGTGTTAAAACAATGAAACCTGCAATTTCAAGAGGGATGTTTTGCTTGTCCCTTGTTCTCCTGCTTTACTGCTGCCTCACTGTTTCCACGCTAACCATAACCACGGAGCGACGCGCTGTTGATAGCGATGTCAGGACTCTGACCAGCAGCAAAAACGCTGCTGCGGCTGCTAAAAGGAGCACCACCTTGTTCCTGCTGACCGGCTACAAGCCACCATTGCCACCGCTGCCCGCCGGACCCAAAGTGGCGCCGAAAGCAGCTGAGGTGGAAGATGGAGATGATCCACCGGTTATGGCCGAGCTCCCTCCAAAGCCCCTCCCTCAGACCATGTTGCCAAAGAACATGACGGCCGACGCCCTGAAGCCTCCGCTCGGTGCGGCCCAGGTGGCTCCACCTCCAAGACAGCTGGTGGATGTGGACGTGTGCAGGTACAGCCACAACAAAACTATTTCCTGGTGTGATTTTGTAAGATTCATTTTTGTGTTGTGTGAGTATTAAAAGGTAGATGAAAATATGATGTATCAGTAAAACAAAATATCTTTGAAAATCTGATTGTTAGAAACATTTCTCGTTTTGGACTTTAGTTTGAACAACAAACCAGTGTCCCCTCGCAGCAGAAATAAAAACTTGAGTGGAAAAAATCACTAAAATCTGGAAATGATGAGCATTAGGTGTGCTTTACAAACGTTAGGTTCTCATCAGAATGGCAAGGCAAGTTTATTTGTATATCACATTTCAACAACAAGGCAACAAGGCGTTCAAATAAAACATAAAAGCAACATAGGAAAATAGAGATTTGAATACTGTTTAGCAAACGCAGCAGCAGAAGTTACAGTGGCTACATCTCCTTTCATAGCACAAATATATTTCCATCTGTGTAATGTGTTGATCACACTGGGTGCCATAAAAGCGATGATTCTTCTCCTCCTGCAGCTCTGATCTCGATCTTATTTGGGCTTATATTTTGCACAGAGAGATGTCTTGCTGTTGCTAGGCAACATGTAATCAGCTCTAAATCAGTTGTGGAGCGGCGAGCTACACACCACAACTACCAACGGCGGCTACGTTGAGGCAATCCAAAACACAGTACAGTAATAACAGACAAACAGATTTAAGACTTACATTAAGCTGCAAATGCCTGACTTGTGTTCCTCTGAGCTTGGTGTTTGTTTTAATGTCTGTAAGGTTACGGATCTCTGACTGCTCAGTAACAAGAGACTTTCCTTACCTTTCTGCCATTTTTGCCGTTGATTGCTGGGTTGGTAAAGGCTAAGCTCGCACCCTGCACTCTTCCAATTGTAGAAATAGCCATCGTGATGTAGAGCGTTTGACTGTTCAGAGCTGACCTTTTTCAACTTTAGGTGCTCAGATGGCTCCTCCAGTACCACAAGACCCAAGGCTGCTGCCTAAGTATAGTAGCATTAGCTTGGGTGAACATTGGAGTCTATTCCCACTAGTGCCAGCCACACTTAAAATGAATCCCCTCACGGTCCTGTAAAGTCCTTTAGAGCCTTATGGAGGCATATCTGTGCTGCTGTAATGTAGAAGTCATCAAGGTCAAATAGTATTGTGATTGGAAATAGCTGTATAATGCACATTAACTCACTGGAAATCTGCCAACATGTTGTTAGACATCGGATCAGTGAGGCTGAAAGAAACTGTTCTAAATTTTTTACCCTGTTATTCATGATGGACGGTGCCTCGGTAAAACAGGGATAAAAGAAAAATCCTAAAAGTGTCCAGAGATATTACTTTTCTTTCCTACCAACTTTGTACCACAGGGGTTACTATGACGTCATGGGGCACTTTGACAGCACGTTCAACTGCTCCAAGGACAGCTACATCTACTGCTGCGGTACCTGTCACTACCGGTTCTGCTGCGAGCACCAGAGGAACCGGCTGGACCAGAACTCCTGCCACAACTACAACACTCCCGTCTGGGCGGACCCACAGGTCCCCGTCACCGTGCCCGTGGGAAACAAGCCCGACCCGGACTTTGAGACGTTGCAGCAGCAGAACAGCAGGTCAGAGTCTGGACTTGTTTGTAACTGTTAGCAGTAATTAAAGAAATTTGGGGATAAGTACAATATTTTATTATTATGTAACTGGAAACAAACAAGTAACGTTCCTCACCTCCTATTCTTGCTTGACCTTTTTTGTTTGTTAGGAAGGAAATAAACTGTACTCACTGCAAAAACTAAAATCTAAGTAAGATTAATTATCTTAATTGAAAGAAAAATATGCTTGCTTTTTGTCTGACAAGATATTTCTTCTTACCAGGCGGCTTTTATGTTAGAGAATTTCACTTGTTTCAAGTTTTTTTATCCTTAAGTAGCAAGTGAAATGTTCTTGTTCTTTTGGCAGATAATTTAGCTTATTTTAAGTAATATATCCCCCATTTTATTGCTTTTTTCCCTTGTCTTTGAGAGCTCAGTTTTTGCTGTGCATTTTAGCAAACTACCTAATATAATGATGTATCCTTGTGGATTACAAAAGAATTTTAGGAACATAACACACCACAGTGCCTCTTTTTAAAATTTTGAATAAATCCAATTTTAAGAATAGCAAGAGTAGAAGTAGTAGGAGTAATACGAGTAGCAATATAAAATTGTAGTAGTATTATTTGTTGTTGTACCATGAGCTCTTATATATTTTTGATTTCCAGCTGTACATCTCAAAGTCACAACATCTTAATAATAATAATAATAATAATAGGTGGTGACGGGCCAAATTAGACTTAATTACATGGTCTGTCTTCCAAAAATCTTTTTCTACCACACACTAATGTTTGCCTCTTATCTTTTTTATTCTGCATTATAAGTGTTTCTTTACAGTATAAATACGATTCAAAGAATTACAGTACACAGTGATGCGGTAAAAAAATATAAAAAATAAAAAAAAACCCTGATGAATATTCATTCATTCATTCTTCATCCAACAGTACGGCCTATGTGATTGGAGGGGTTATCTCCTTCACGCTGGTGGTGGCCGTGGGCGTCAGGATTGCCTTCAGCAAGGTGGCACGCCGACCCCGCAACAGGGACATCAACATGCCCAGGTGAGACCAAAGGACCGTTCTGTTGGGATTCCTGACTGTAACTGATTCAGACAGGAGAGACAACATCAGTGCACAAAGGTGAAAGTGGAGAGCGGTCGATATCAGACAGGAAGTAACACTGAGATGATTTGACAAGCAAGCAAGACAGTACCAAGCTGTCCTGGAAAGTGTAACGTAGCTGGCTTGATCTGTCCATTATGTAATGTCTTTCAGGCTTACAAACACATGTCTCTATTACTTTCCGTCACGACTCCTCATATGCGACTGGGCGCTTGCAGATAGAGTTGTAATGCTCGTGTAATATGTGCGGCCAGGTATACAAGCACGAGCAGTATGTAATTCAAATATAGTAGGTAAGTCAAGTATTACAGAAAAGTATGACTTAATCTGTTAAGACTTTTATACTAAACTGAGTCAGAGGCTTATTCAAACATGAGACTGACATGTAACATGACCAGCACATTTAGTTAATTGAATGCATGTCTGAAAAGGGCTTTGGTTGACCTTAAAGAGGCACAATGTTTTACTTGGTCTGAACTTTAATGGAGAGTGTACTTTGTTGCATTCGATTTATTTGGCCACACTGCCTGCAAAGAACTGGTCAGAGTCACGTGACTCGAATATTGTTTGTTACCAAGTAGCTGGCAGGTTGGACATCCTGGCTGTAGGCGATTCAACATCAGATTCCAGTCTTTGTAACTCCAGATAAGCATGATATGATTGATTGATTGAATGATATCTTTATTTAAAACGTGTAAAAAAGACAAAAAAAACTTTATGATAAGATTAACAACAAAACAAAACTCCATAACTTCCATTACATAAACACGTCTTTTTACATTTCCTAAAAAGTAAAGTAAAACTTATTTACTTCTACCCCTTAATACCCTAAACAGAATAATTAATATACAACTACAAAATAATAGATCTATAGAAATAATAAATCTATAATTAAAGAAAATACATATTCAAATGTAGTTATATTATTCATTATTCCTTTCGTCTTTCTCTTTATCCACTCCTTTCCCTCTTGCTCTCATCTCTCCGTCCACCCTCTGCTGTGTCAGATCACTGGTGGATATCTTGCGTCACCAGTCGAGCCCGGTGCAGCAGGGAGAGAGGAACAACTCCACAGGGTTACCTACCACCACCTCAGACGGACGGACATCCAAAAACCTCTACACCCCGATCCTGCAGAGCAAAGACAACCGCAGTGAGTCCCACACACATTATTTGGGATGAAAGCATAAAACGATGCTGTCGTATTCAGGTGAAATTAAGTTTGAATCAAACCAGGTTGTCATGTCCCCGACGACATGGATGGTAATTGTCCTTGCTTTTATTCTAATCTCAATATCAGTAACACATCGCACTTCATGTGGAATACATTTGTTGTAATTGATTAGTTGCCAGATTCAGCTGCTATTTAGAGAAGTTAAACGATAAAGGATCATCTCAGTAGGTCTTTGTCTTTAAAATGAAAAATGAAGCAGCATTAGTTCAGCCATTTGCAGAAATCATGTCAAAAAAAAACCTTTTAATCGCTTATAGTGTGGATTCACCTTTCTTTATTTTGTGTCTAGAAGGGAATACCTCTAAATCTAACCACATTTTAGATGTGTGTTGCCCACAAAAATCCACTTAACCTTCACATCAAATACACAGTATTTGTGAACCAGAAAATGCTTTTTAATACTGATGACCGCAACTATGAACTGTTGCTTCTTTGTTAGTTAATCATCTCTTATGTTGCAGATTTAGAACTAACACTCTTATTTCTTGTTTGTGGTTGTAGTGTTTGTTAAAGAACAAACAAATCCAACTCTAAGAGACATCGTTAGTTTAGTGTTAAAATAAGTTTAAAAAACTTTTTTTATTAATGTTGGAAGAACTTTGCTAAATCAAATGATGTATGATGTAAGTTCTGGTACTTCAAATCAAAGACAAAACAACAAATCTTTATTTAATTTTGTTTTCATTCTTATGCGCTGTAAAGCTGCCCACTCCTGACAGCTTTGTGTTGTTTCTGATAAGACACAAATGTAGCTGTCGTCCACAGATGGAAGAATCGTATTTCTCTGGTTGCAAAAAAAAGTTGTGCAGACATTTGACAAACAATTTCCCTCAGAGGGGTGAATGTGTTTGTTTTCTTACTGTAACTATTCACACAATTGCTGGTCTAAACACGCAGAAATAACACACATTTCTGTCTTTACTGCTCTGTCTGCTGTTCTGTCGCTCTGCTACTGTCTCTCACCTCTAACCACAAACAAGCTCTCTTGTTTCAGTCGCTCCAGGATTTTGCTGAGTTGTTCCATGATTTTGCAGATCTTTTAGGGTTTTAACAAGAAATTCAACTCAAAGAAAATCTGGTACTTAAGTTGAAATAAAGATATCCCAAAAAGTTTGATCTTTTATATTTAACTACTCTTATTTACTTTTGTCACATGTACAGTTTTTGACTGCAGGCTCGTGGTTAAAAAGAGTCCACATTTTATTAATATGGATTGACTCCAACATGACTTTTTGCTCATAATACAAAACTGGATAACAAGTATCCCGTTTTTGCATAAGATAATTTGTGTTCTCTTTTCATATGCAAACAACAAACAGGTTCAATTAACCACAAAGCCTCGTACTCTGAATATGTTGAATGTCTAATGGAGAATAAAACTCAAACTACATCTCAGTGTCTTTCATCTTCTCCCTCTCTGGAGTTGCTGAAGACATGAAAAGGCGTGCTGTATTATATTAACAAGCACTTTGATTGAATTTATTGTGGAGAAGTGTGCCCACACAAGTGAATAAAAAAAGCCAATTCCTGCAGGGACTGTCCTACCCTCTCCTGTTTCTATCTTTCTGTCCCTCTCTGTCCTCTCTCTCTCTCTCTCTCTCTCTCTCTATTGACACAAATGCTTACTCGACACAAGGCTCTGTGTCTCTGGAGTCTCTGGAGTGGTTGTCCATCAGTTTGTCGGCTCTGCTCTCTTTGCAGCTGGGAACTTGCACCACCATTTTAACCAGCAGGGGTCTGCTTCCAGCCCCAAACACTCTGCTACCATCGGTAAGCCTCGTGGTTAGCAGCACAGCCCAGCACAGGCGGCCGGATTCACGGCCTCACTACCACACTGTCTGTTTGTCTTGTTGCTGGTATGACGGCCTGTTGTCCTACACTCTTAAAACAGCTGTGCCATTGTCAACAGTACTTTGTGGCAACACAAATATTTGGTTTAAAACATACACTGTACGTATGTTTTATAATGACGCACATGGTGGTGTTGAAAGTGACACATCTTTCATAAGAGTGTGAGCTAAAAGTTGTCTGACCTGCCCTCTGCCTAATGCAAGCCTGTCTGCTCCCCACCACCCACTACCACCACAAGCCTGCTTCCAAATGTGCTTCTTCTTCTTCTCTCTGTGTAGCAGTGCAACTGTGCTTACAGCTGATTACCAGAGGTCTTGGCTTAAGCGAGGTCACTGCACTCACCTGAGTGTGTTTTCCCAGGCTTTGCACCAAGAAAACAAAAAAAAGCAATGCTAGCACGAGTGATTTATCTCCCCCTTGTTTCAGTTATAAAATAATAAAACTCTAATTTGGTGCATCTAACATGGCTGCAACAGAATACTGGATATGGTTGCCATGGAAATATGATGAATATGAAGGGACAAGCATGATTTTCACATAACTTTTTAGGTTGTTTCAGTGCCCGTTATTCCAAGACATTACACCCACACTTAAACAGTAACACCAAGCGAACTAAATGTTTTGTTTAAATTGTGCTTAAAGTGTGCTGTAAGCAAAGATTGGCAATTGTTCAGTTTCTAATATTAACCAGCAAATATTTGTATGAAAAGTGTGTATAATAAAAAATACAGTATATTATACATTATCTATAACTGTGTTATAAATACATGTGTTATTTAACGCTCAAGATTTAAATATGAAGCAAGGAGGACATTTTAAATTAAATTCAGTGCCATGATTTATTTTAGTTAAGTCAGGTCAATTTGTTCTTGAAAGATTTGGTTATAAAGTCTGAAACCTTTTTAATAGATTATTTGTTCCTAGGTGCTTTTCAATATCAATATCAATATCAATATCAATTTTATTTATATAGCACACTCAAAACAACCAAGGTTGACCAAGGTGCTTTACAGGTTAAAAATACAGTAAAACAGTAATTAAACAGTGAAAGTACAGCAATGAAACAACATACAGTATATGATATAAAGTGATTCAGTTTTGTCCTCACACTTCCTGTGTAAGATAAGATTCAAGGCCTCCTGGGAGGATACAAGAACAGAAAGCTTCAGCTCTCTGCTCAATATGTGTACAGTATCTTGACTGAAAGTTCATTTTCTCCATGACACCAATATCAAACCTCTCTGTCAGCCATCGGAGGTTGTACCAGCTTTGCACTCTTGGAAATGACTAATTCTGTATGACGGCACAAAAAAAAGCACATTTAGCTCAATATTTGATGCTTTCTACTTTTATCTGCTGCAGCCTTCCTCATGCTCAGTTCATGCTTTATAAACCATATGATCTCAGAGTTAGCATTGCTTTCCTTCCCACAGTGTGTATGTGTAACATGCACGCTACAGAAGTCGATGTGGTGTGTGTTCCCTGGGTGACGCTTAACAGAGACATTATTGGCCATTATCGCCCATTACTGTCAATGGTCAATGACCAGATATGTCCAGCAATAATCTTAACAAGATCGCAGCCCATAACCATTACCACCCTGAATGGACTCAACATCGATTGTGTCCGTCTCAACGGCCGGAAACAACAGCAAATGGCCAATTTTCCAGAATTACATAATCTTTTATTGCTGCTTTATATTTTAGCATTCTCAGATTTGTAATATTTATTTTATAGACACACAGCAGTTAATAAAGTTTCTTCTGTCCTCTTTTCATAAATCCAACATTTCAAATTACTCCTCAGTGATTCCAGTAATGGGCAGCATGCGTTTGTCAATTTCAGATGTTCCTTTTGGATGTGAGCTCGTTGTCCCTGTTTAAATGTACAGAACCTACACATGTTAGGTCATCGCTGAGAGCACCTACATGTCGGCTCGTTAAAAGTGCTGTCTGTTTTCTGTTTGGACAATATGAATGTACTTGTATACTGTATGACGTAACTGATATGAGTATACATGTTGCAAAACAGACACCACTCCCCCATACTGCTAATCTTACATAAGACAAATCATTTTTTTGTTATGATCAATGTGCTGCTTTTGCACTTTGCATAAATGTGTGTATGTAGATTCCCCCTGATGCTATCAGTGTATTTCTCTGTATTTACATGTGGCTGATATGTTTGTATTAGAGCCCCAGATACACAGTACAGAGTTGTATTTATAGATGGTCGCCATGGAGTTCGAAGACACTTCCTGTGTTTACTGATCATTAACCAGCTTCCATCTTCTTCTCTTGTTCTGTCTTTTTTGTCTTCTTCTTTCCTTTTCTACATTTTGGCCATTTCTGTTTCTTTCTTTTTATTCGTTTTCTATGTTCCCCTTTCCCCCCTACCTCTTTTTCTCTATTATTTCATTTCTAAATTTTCTGCCTCTTCATTCTCTCTGTTTCTCTATTTTTCATTATCTTTCCTTTTTCCCTCCCATCCTCACCTCTACTGTTTTCTCCCTCTCTCTTGCGCCATCTGTCTTTTTCTTCCCTATCTCCTCTTTCTCCCTTTATTTTCTGTGTTCCTGTTTATTTCCCCCTGTCATTTTTTATCTCCTTTCTCTCTTTCTCACTTACTTGTCGTATCCCCCTTCACCCTTTTTTCCCCATCTTCTCCTCATTTTCCTTTGCCTGTGGCCATTTCTGTCTCTCCAGAGCGTGGATCCCGTATGAACAACACCTCCCAGCTCTCCTCTGGACCCACCCTGCTTACAGGTAGCGGGAAAGGTCCCAGTGGCGGCGCCGTTGGTGGCGGCAGCATTATCGGTGGGGGTATGAGACACAACAGCAGCCATCCTTCCTTCTCCCACTCCTTCCACAATCTGGCCCAGCTGCCGCCGTCCTACGAGTTGGCCATGAAACCTGAGATCAACCGCTACAGCTCCCTGAAGAGGCTGGGTGAGCTGACAGGGGGGGGAGACTCAGTGATGTGGGAGGAGTAGAAAGAGAGTGGAAATATAGGAGACAGAAAAGGGAGAACAAGGGAAGCAAAGAAGAAAAACTGAGAGAAAGATGGGGGGGGGGGAGTGAGGGGGAGAGCAAATGGGACTAAATGATTCAGGTGATGCAACACACGAGCTAGCAGCCATATTGGAAGTGAGTTCTTGTGCTTGTGTGGCTGAATACTGTCGCTGATTACGTTTATAAAGTCAACTGTCGCAAATGTTTGAATTGTGTGCACAATTTAGATTATTTTGTCTCTGACACGTGTTTAATCCACCAAAAAATTGAGTATCAAACGCTCAATGCCATGAACTTTGAAAGGTGGTTTATGAGACATGCGTAGTTTGCTACCTCTGTGGATGACGGTAGCTGGTAGACAGCTTGGATTCACAACAGTTAACAATGGATTGCTGTGGAGACCCAGAGTCACATAAAAGTAGAAACTTCTCTTACTACTCCTGCGGCGTAATAAACTACACAGCTGCTAAACGATCCTCAGTATGTCAAAAAAGAAAATCATACTGTTTCTGGTGGAGCTTTGGAGCAATGAGCAGGTGATGAAAGTAATGTGTTTAGTTATGCTGTGGAAAATACTAATGTGAATCAACAGCAGAGAAGTTGATTATACTTTTTCACAACTTCAAAGTTTCAACTGATAATTTTTAATTTTGTAATTGTGTGAGGAGTGATAGACCAATTAATCGGTCGGTTGATTAATCGGACCGATATCTTGCATTTTGAGATAATGGCATCAGCCAACACCTCCACTCACGAGGCCAATATACAAAAAGGTCTGAGGACACATCTGCAGGCAGCCATGTCAGTGTGGCTGCTGTGGAACGATGTCAGTGCAAAGTTGGATTCGAGCCCTTAATTTCCTCAGTAACCGTCGTCTTTTCTAAATGTTAACATTTTTCTATATATATAATATAGTTATACTGATATTGAATAAAAGTTCCATCTAAAACAACACGTTACTGGCTGAAATAAGATTTAAATGAGATTGTACTCTGCATAAATTTAATTTTTATATTGGCGTTATATACTAACCATCAGCTGGCCTACTCTCTAAATATCGGTATTGGCCATTAAAAAATCCATATCGGTCAACTACTAACTGTGAGTATTTGATAATTAAAAGACAGATGTTCTGTGGAGTAAACTCCAGCACACCCCAGCGACTTAGTGTTCACTTGCATAATGTTTTGGAACTCACAGGAGACAGATTTCAAGCACCAGAAGTAAAGATAGACCAGAAAGATAGCCTGACTTCAAATCCCTTGTGGGTCAAACTCCAGAAAGACTGGATCCTACGCTTCCCATAATGTAACTTCATAGCTCTCTTAACAGCATCAATATGACATCATCAGGGTTTATTCTTATTTTTTGTTTAGATTTAAAAGATGTATATTTTTATACAGCTGTATTTAAAGGTTGTGTATTTATCTTTACGTCAAAAATATTTGATGTCAGTCCATTTTTTGGTTATTCCACAGTGTCTGGACAACTAACCACTGCTGTGATGTTGTTCACACCTCAAGTCTAGAAAATATGGCTAGAAGTGGTTTGTTGTTGCATGTTAGCATAAACATTAGCTGTGTAGCAAGCCAACATTGGCCCTGTATTACATTGCCCAAAAGGTTGGCCATCTTAATTGTGTTAGGTAGGGCAACATCGTGCCAAGCGGTTGGACCAACATTTTGCCTGTACTGACTAATAATACAGACTACACCCACTTGACCAGATTTTGGTTACCCAAGTGTCTGAGCATGTCTCTGCCAAATAAACAATGAGCCAGTTATTTTCAAGTAAACTGGCCTACTCCCACCACATGACTTTCTTTCCAGGTATTTCTCTTTTTGTGGCCCGGTTAGTTCGACTTTCACACAGCCGATTCTCAAGTGAGCCTCCATAATGGCAGCAGGCAGGCATGGCCGCCAGGAGATTTGTGACTCAGCTGCAAAGTCTCAGTGTAGTGTGAATGTGTAAACTGTTTCTGCTAAATAGCCATAACAGTAAAGTAAATAAACTGAAACAGAAAAGGGGGGGGAGTGAATGAAGGCAATGGAGCAGACTGAGAGAATTAAGAGAGTGAAAGGGAAGGAGAAATAGGAAGAAATGGATTTGTGAGATGGATGACAAGAAGAAGGTAAAGGTTGGAAATAAAGGAAATAAAGCAAAAGACCAGGAGTGACAGATTGTGGATTACAAAGGAGTTACAACGGTAAAGAAAAGCATCAATGTGAAAAGAAGGGCATTGGGGAAATTGAAAGAAACATGGGAGAGTATAAATGTAGAGAAAGAGGTTGTTTGACCAGAAGAAAACGATCAGGGCGAGAGAGTGAAAGAGCTGATTAGGCAAATAAAAAAAGAGATATTCAAGCAGATAGAGATGCAGAAGGAAAAGAATGGAGGGAGAGGCAGTGAAAGAAAGGAAGAAAGGATTGGAGGGAAAGAGAGATGTGGAGATAGGGGGAGGGGCGTTGGCTGCTGGTCTGCAGGGGCCTGGCTGCCTTCGACGGGGAAGAAAAGACACTTGAGAGGCAGTGGCTGACAACCACTCTCTCTCTCTCTCTGTCTGTCTCTCTGTCTGTCTTTTCCTCCCTCACACTGCTATTGCTTAAGACTGCAGGGGGAGGGGAGTTGCCTCTGCAGGCTGAGTGATGGATAGTTACTACATGGGAGATTGTGTGTCTGTGTGTGTGTGTCGCTGTGTGGCTATACGTGAAAGCAATAATGAGGTGAAAGTCCAGATGAGGCGCTTTCGATTCAGTAAAAAAGGAGAAAACACTTCAATAGACGAGGCTTAACTCATTACACGTCAGACCTCCAGAGGTCATCCCACTTCCCATTTATGAAACAGTATATCTGATGCATTATCGCAGCCGTCGTGTAGCATTTTATGGTTCAGGTCATCAAAACAGACTATCCTGGTTTAGGTTGTTTAGCAAAAACAGTAGAGAAATCCCAGATAGAAGCTTTTCCCTTCATTCAGCCTTTTGTTTTTTTAATTTTCTGTTTACTCTTCTCCTGTCAACACATTTTTCTCTTTCGTTGTCCCTCTCTCTCCAGCTCTCCTTCATATAATTACACTGCCTCGAATGATTGAACAAATTAATTTACAGAAAGCATATTTTTCTGCACGTCTATTAGACAACTAATGTTTTTTAAAATGTTTTTAAATAGGTACAGCATAGTGATATTTAAAAAAAAGAAGCATGATTGCACACATGCTTGACTTGTCATAGTGTTTTAGGGCTGCACTTTAAAATCATTGTGGCTATGACGTCTTTACCAACCTGTTCTCATTCCCAACTCGTCACATATGGACGCTTGGTCAAAACCCTTGCCATTGCTTTTCAATGGCCTCAGTACTCTTTAGCGTCGTTTTTGCATGTGTAGGACTTTGCGCTCAAATTACGTGACTTAAATTACGTAAGTTAAGTAACGTTACTTATGTAACTTCTGTAAGAAGATTTAGTGTTGACTTTCTGTTTCACACGGGAAATGAAGACTGATCTCCTGGGTGGAAGGCCAATTTCTGACCCACACAGGGCGTTGAACGATGATGCTAAACACTGCCATTTGTGCATTGGTACCAGGCGACGCCCTGGGAATGAGAACAGGCTATCTTTACTGAAGTATGGCTGCTCAAATCCCAGTTCAAGTGCACTTTCTGCAGGCATCCAGAGAGTTTGCGTGACTTCACCCCGTCTTCGACCTGTTGCCATTGAGGACAGATTTTGACTTCAGATGTGTTCAGAAGACCTGCTTTACTTTGTTTTGAGCATATAATATAAAGCAGGTCGGACTACTAGTTAGACACTATGTCGTCAGAAATACTCTGAGGTGGATTAGAGGTCACGATTGGTCCCCTCTATAACAATGACTGAGGTCTTTAGTCCCCTTGATTACACATTTTATGCCTAACACCACGGCTGAATTGACAGGATCACTTACGACATGTCATAGTGCATATGATGGAAGAAGTTCGGAGGGTGTACTGTAAATGTGGGTTTAGACATGACTTCCTTTTGCGCCAGAAGATTTAATTTCTCAGAGTAGAACTCCCAGGCACTGACATCTTCAGCAGAAAAATGTAAAAGCGTCCATTAACCAGATACAGGCGGAATCACTGTGTCAATGACACTGAAAACAAAGCAATATTTTTACTTGTCTGATTATTAAAAGCCTGCTTTTTCAGAAAAAACACCCTGAATGTCAGCTTTGTTGAAACGCCCCTTCAAAGGGAAACTAAAATGTTGTCACTGTGACACAGGGAGAGGGACTACAAGCTCTCAGCAGCCATTGTATGAATCCTGGTGCTTTTGATGTAGTTCCCCACACGGCGCTGCAGAAAGGACACTGATAAAGGCTTCTTTGTCTGAGGTCGGCAGCCAGGGAGAAATCGAGATAATTTGGCCTAACAGGAGGGGAGAAAACAGTGAGAGGGAGAGAGGAGAAAGACTAAGAGGAGGGAAAGGACATGGGACCAATAGATGAAATATAGATAGGTCAAAAGAGAGAGAGAAAACCTCGAGAGCATGTGACAGAAAGGAAAAATAAGAAAGAGAGAGGAAGAGGAAGAGCAAAGGAACAAACAGAAGGAGAAGAAGAGACCTGACAGAGAGAGAGAAAGGAAATGGCGAGAGGGGAGGAAGAGGTAGAGAGGTGGCTGGTTAAAGGTCATGTCTAAATTGGCTCTTGGTGCGCTGCTTCCATGGAAATGCTTTGAAGATTAAAGCAGTCTCAGGCTATAGAGCAGAAAGCACAGAAACACTATATTTCACTATTAATGAACCTCAAAAACTGTTCCATCCATGTCTGTTTCTCCTCGCTTTTTCATCTCTCTTTACTTTGTGACACTCTTTGTTTTCATGTCATTCTTCCCCCATCACTCTGTTTTAAGCATTCTTCCCTCTATTGCACCTTTACATGACCTTGCGTTTGTCTTTTACCTTTTATTCTTTTACGCCTCATGCAATATACAGTGTATTTCTCTTTCATCCCTTTGCCCCCCCCCCCCTTCTTGAAATCAATTCTTGCCATTTTGTTCTTTACTTTCTGTGCTCCTCTGACTCAATCACCCCATTTCACCTATCGTGTATCTTCTTTTGACATCTCTACCTTTTTTCATCCCATCTTATTGTATTCTTCTCTTCTCCGTCAGAGTATTTCATCTCCCTTTCCTGCCTCTTCCTCACATCACATTTTCTTTAGCTGTCTTTTTCATGTGGCCTCCTTGACATCATCCTTTTCTCTTGCCTCCATATATCTGTCATCTTTCTTTTTCATACGTTTCTTTCTACGTCTGTTTTTCTCTACTTTAATCTTTTACTTTAGGTTCAAAGCGTAGTCTTGACTTTGGACATTTGAGAAATCAATCGAATCCACAAGGTCCATATAGCTCCATTAGCCTCCATTTGGCTTTCCATCATACTGTTAAATCTTCTTCGACAGATGGGGTTCACCTAGTTGTATCGTTGAAATTTTATCTGATTTGATTTTTTTCAACAATTTCACCAACATGGACAAGAAGTCCTCAAATGCTCAGAAAAATTTTATTTTTTTTATTATTTATTATCTTCCTGATTTTGCAGGGGAAAACTGTTGACAGAAAAATGTAAAAACGTGAAGGTTAATTTGATCAAGTAAAAATGATAATGACTGTTTCTCGGAAATAACAAGCTTTTCAGGACACCAGTTTGGATCCTGGGAAATTGTGATGGGCACATCACAATTTGTTCTCTCACATTTGTTCTCTAATGCATTACATGTGGAAGAAAATTTATTCATGAGCAGCAAGCCCTAAATTCATAAGAGACACAACAGTTTGGTGATGGACCTTTTTCAGGCATTACATTTAAGTAAATCCTCTTTTAGTGCAGCCCTATTTACATACTCTTTCTCTCTTTTGCTGAACCAGAGAAAGAACTTGACGAGTACTCCAGCTACTACTCCAAACGCCGCCCCAACAACGCACCTCCCTCCTTCCACTCCTCGCAGCACCACCTGCCCTGGGGAGGTGAGTACACGCTGGGCTCCAGGGGCACGCTGCCCCTCCATGGCTCCCGGCCTCGCATCCACATCCCCTCCTCCACCCCGAACCCTTACCCGCTGCCCGCCCAGACTCAGTATACCAGCTCCAGCTTCGACAGGCCGCCACGCCGCGTCCGGTCCCAGGACCAGCTGCTTGCGCTCGGGGAGGGCAACACGCTGTCCCGCCTGTCCAAGAACCAGCAACACCAGTACTACAAAGCCATGATGAGCACCAGCAGGAGCTCTAACTCGCAGACACTCCGCAGGTAAGACAAGAGATGAGAGAGGATGGAGGACAGCAGAGGTGAGGGGAATAGAGGAGAAGATACTGAAGAGAAAAGAACAATAGAAAAGAAGATGAAAGACAAGAAATAAGACTAGAGGGAACTAGAGGGTGTAATGATTAATAAATATCAAGAGCAGAATAGTTTAATTAAAATGTCTGCCAAGTTGAATGTACTCTATTAAATTAAATCAGTCCAATTTAAAACTTTTTACCTCCTTGACTTTCTAAAACAGTCAAATAAGTTTGACGTTGAGCTTGACAGTTCATGTTTGACCTTGGAAACAGCAGTTGAGAAAATGATCTCTCTGCTTTTTCTGAAGCTTCAGCCACATTACTGGCACATGATATCAGATGAATTCTCCCCCTACCTTAAAAGCCAGATATGAAGTTTAACAAGGAATTTTAGGAACGCAATTTAATAGCTGAGAGGATAAACAAGTCTCTGGTTCCAGGTCCCATGAGAGGCTTCTGATCTCACCTGACCGTCTGGAGGACCAGCTGGTGGCGATGGGTCTGATGGTTGGAGGAGGTGACAGAGGAGCAGGAAGCGGGATGGTGCCCACCATGGGCCGGCTCAGCCACCACCAGAAGGCCCAGTCGCAGCAGAACATCTGTGCCACGCCGTCCTTGGATCGCCACCACATGATCAAGATGAACTCCCACCCAACGCCTGGCCACGACCACGACCGCAGCTCCGCAGCCATGCCCGGGATGGGCATGCACAGCGGCTGGGACCCCCACAGCAGCAGCGGAGGTGGAATAGGGACGATCGGAGCCCACCACAACGCCCGGCGGATGGCTTTTGCCAGCAAGAGGCAGAACACCATCGAGCAGCTGCACTTCATACCGGGAGGAGGAGGAGTGCAGGGACTGCGGACTGGGAGTAAGAACGAGGTGACAGTGTGAGAGGACGAGGGAGGCAAAGAGTGAGGAAGATGAAGAGTAGAGAGGTGAAGGCTGATGTTGTAAAGAAGCTGGAGAGTCAGTGGACAGTGGAACGGGAGGTGGCGAGGCATTTAGTGGGAGACATGAGGAGGAAAAGATAACTGTGAAGAAGAAGGAAAAGGTTTGATCTCATGCTGGCTGCTTCACAGGGCTGCACTCTTCCCTGAGAGCAAGCAGTAAACAGCCCCCCCCCCCCTTCATTAAACAAAAAGTGGTGGAAGACAACATTAATCTCATAGCAAGTATAGCCAATGAATTTTCTCCCTGTCACTTTGTGTATTGAAGAAGAGAATATTCAGCCATTCTTTGAAAAGGGAAGACAGAAATGTCCACTTTTAAAGAGCAAAAAATATCATGCGAGTGCAGTTTTAAGGCTGCTGGGTATTCGCTGTGACTTTTATTGAAGGATACCAGCTGAGTCAAATCTGTTGAATTGTCCTTGAGTTTTATTGCACTGTCCTCTGAGTCCTCGAGAGCTCTGACGGAGATTCATCTGTCTTTGAAACCACGGTGAGTGGTAGAGAGCACTGAGGCAGAGACAGACGGGTTTGCTTGTCTTTGTGTTTATAAAAAGTATTTAAAACCAAACAAGTTGCTTTTTGTATGAAATTAACCTGATGATGATGATGATGATGATAGTATTAACATTACTGATCCCTGTAAAACTTTGTGTATACTTGGTTTAAAACATATTAATCCTTTAGCCAGCCTCTTTGTAACCTAAAGGCTGACATGTGACCATTTCTTTCTCTAGCTGTGATTGGACTATAATGACAGTAAAACATTTTCTTCAAAAATAATCCAGCCAAGTACAGTTAACTGCCTTCATGGCTCAATTTACTCTAGATAAAGATTACAATGTAAACCATTTTTTGGGGGAAAAACAAGACCATAAACTGCTGCTATAAAGGCCCAGTCACACTAGTATGATCGACTTTGCAGTATGATTTTAGCTAACTTTAAAGCCTTTGTATAGTAAACTCTAGTGGGTGTATATCATCTATGAAACATTGTGCTGTGACCCTTTGCGTAATAATTACTAAAAAATAAAGTTTTGGAATTCGACCGCTCATAAAGAAGAACCAACCTCATGCAGACTCTGTATGGGTCAAACATTTTAAAATTGACCCTGACTGACCAAACATCCCTCAATCACTGTTTTAAACTTTTCATCGTGAGTTTGTAGGGTGTCGAGGGTTTCTGCACGAACCCTCCCGTGCTTCTACGATGCCACATGTTACCTGCAAGTTCAGCTGCTCACCTCATATGAAGGGAAGGTGGGGCAGACGGGTTCGAGGTGGGGGACAATGGACACTTCACACCAAGGGCTATACCGAATTATCTTTGTGTGTCTGTGCTCTGTACAGTGCGTGCTTTTCATTTTCATTTCCTCTGCGTGTCAGTGTTGGGAGGCATGCTTGTGCATATGTTTACTGATTTTTTTTTTTTGTGTGTGTGTGTGTGTGTGTGTGTGTGTAGAGAAACTATAACCATGCAAGGAAAATCTGCAAAGCAAAGGAACTTTTGTGCAACATGTAAAAAACACACGACCATACTTATTTGTTGAATTACAGAATTGTCGTGGGAGATAGTGTGGCCATGATGATGTCATATTTTGTACTTTTTTTGTTTGTTTTTCTGGCTGTGAGAAGGACCTTCTAGCCATTCAGGCTGGATTTCCCCTCAATGGGGGTTTAAGGGACTCATGAGGCCTTGTTTGAGGCTTCCCCTCTGAGTTGCATTTCGATAAAGACGGACATGATGATTACCGTGTGAAGCCTCCTGCCAGCCATTTTTAGTGTTTTACTACGATACACGTGCTCATGTTAATGTTAATGGTTTATGATGTGTAAAGACTCCCCCTTGATCAGACTATGAACGCTCTTATCATGAATCGACTATTGTTTTTCTTTTGTTGTAGTTGTCTTTTACTTAAACATGTATTTATTTTTTTAATCTGTGAATTTTAATGTATAATCCTAGATTTTCAATATTCAAACTTTCTAGTGGAATAAAAAAAAAAAGCAGTTGTTGTTTTCGAGAACAAAAAGAGCTGATGCAATCTAAGAGAAATGACAAACCGCATGACGATGTCAGAAGCCAGTGTTGATGATGTCACAGTGCTGACTTATGATGTCACGGCGTGCATATGTGTGTAAATGTACATGCGTCTGTTTTAATTTGTGTGCCCATGTGTGTAATTCTCTCAGTGTCTTCTTCGGGAATGCTGAACCTCATTTTTGACCAAACTTTCGGTCGTGTCTGTTCATATCAACTTGTAATGAAATTTAAATGGCCTGTTGCTGTTTCATTAAAAAGAGGGGGGAAGGGGGGGGCATTGTCAATCACAACTTTTTCTTGTTGAGCTATGTTCACCAAAGCGAGGACATTTCAGATATTTGAAAATGTATATTACTGAAGGCTTATATTGTATCAACTTTTGGTATTTGAATAGAAGTGAAACAGCTGAGCGTGGCATTTTATGACGTCGCTAATCGTGTGATGTCTCACGGTTGATGAGTTTGTGTCGCTCTGACTTGAATATGTATCTGCAAAAGGCGATTTTATTTTTCATAAACAACCTGCTGATTTGTGCTCAGACCTTTAAGGGCACAGACGTTTAACCTACAGTATTAACAACGTTTTAGAGTTGCAATACAGGTGAAGGGGAAAAAAAGGAATTGCATTCAAGCGACCGCAGTTTAGCAGGGTTGTGGAGGAGAATGTATTGTGACTTGCCTTTGGCTGACAGGAATGGAAAGTCTCTGTCAATGAAAACATCTCATACAGATACATACTACAAGGAGGGGGGTGGGGGGTTGTAAATGACACGTGAAATTTCAGTTGTATTTTTAATACTCTCATTTCTCCTCATACCTTAAAAGGTCTGATGGAGATGTTGTAATCCATGTTCAGTTAAATGCTCCTCTGTTAAAACTGTGTGCCTGTATGTGTGTTGATGTATGGCGAATGTGTGTGTATGAGTGTGTTAACCACGCTGGGGGGGAGGGGCATGGGCAAATTTGTATTCCAATAGCTACTCTGCATACCTCAAATTGTATGATACATTTATTTATTACATTCCCTTATATGTCTATTTCCAAGAATATCCAAACAGAGGTCTCACAGATGTGCAACCCTTTTGTTATTGGTGATCAGTTCTTGCGTTTGTAGAAACCATACTGTTTAATTGATAACAATAAAAAAAAATCCCACTAAACCTTGTTTGTGACTTTTGTGAGGATGTTTGACTCTTTCCGTTTGTGTTTTGAGTTGACAGACTCACTTTACTTTTGATTAATTGATTAGTCGACAGTATCAAACATCATAAAACAAGTCGACATATGTGAGGGTTGTCTGCTTTTTTGTCTCTTTTGTATCATTGAAAACTGAACGTTTTTGGGTTTTGAGACTGTTGATCAGACAAAACAAGGCCTGATGCACATTTTCTCAATTCTTTGAAATTTTAGACAACAGTGAACTGTTTAATCAAAGAATTAATAGCTAAATAAATTGATAATGAAAATAATCCTTGCAGTCATATTCAGTGTAAACAGTATGGCTAGCCAATATTTTATAGATTTTTAGTCTAAGTTGTGACAAAAAAAGTGAAAACTTACCTTTAAAGTTTGCAGAGCCCCATGAAACATACATAATTACCTGTTTTGTATGAAAAGAAGTCTAATACGCAAAGATTTTTAAGTTACAAGGATATAAAATCCAAGAAAAGCAGCACACTCACATTTCAGAAACTTGGAAATAGCTAATGTTTTTGCTTACTGAATGACGTAAACGATTACTTAAATATCTAAAAGAGTTCACTGCCAATCAACTAAGTGAATAATCGACTAATGGTTTCACAGCTTTACTGTCTCCCCATTCGTTCTTGCAAAGTGTGCCGAATACAAGAAGACCAGACAAGACATTTGATGCCAGTTTTAGGTACTTTATTCCCCCCTATGTTCTGAGCTACTGACACATTTCAGTCAGCAACAAAAGCTGTTGAGGTTCACTCAAACCCAACGTATAAAACAGATCCTCAATGTGGTTTGAACGTGTGTCTGTGAAGGGAAGATAAGCAATGATCCCAACTATTGTGTTTCTCTAATCAGTCCTTCCTCCCTCTGTTTCTACACCCGAGGGAGCAATTTGAGGCTCCACACAGGGGAACACCACCACCGTCCCCAATTAAGGGCAGTTTATTCAATTAATTACTGTAGTTGAAGAAAGAAAATGAATAAATTACAGGAGATAAAAAACCAACAGAAAGGCTCAGATTTTCTGCTGTCTACTTACTATGTCAGTTACTTTTTGACCCATATGAAGAACTTTAAACTAGTTTTAGATATATTTTATTATGTTTTATAGATTATTTTATGACATTAAGTGTACTTGTGATAAGTTGAGAACAGAAGCGAAAAGCACTAATTAAAGCAAAGCTGAGCATTCCTATACTAATACAAGATTAATCAACTCAACCAATCAATATAGGCTACTTTTATGTTTGGGACAGCAGACATTTCCAGACCTTGGCACATCACACCAAAATAAATGGTTAAAGGCTGGGTAGTTCAGACTCTGTTATGATCCACAGTTTAATATTCTCACAACAGGTCATTTAAAATAGCATGTTTAAATGTTCACTTGCCTGTGCAAAATATGTGCATGCAGGACCACACATGCAGAAGTGTAGCCACATACAAAACATTTTTCTATCACACAGCATAACACACATGCAGAAGTGTAACCACATACAAAACATTTTTCTATCACACAGCATAACACACATGCAGAAGTGTAACCACATACAAAACATTTTTCTATCACACAGCATAACACACATGCAGAAGTGCAGCAACATGAAAAACATTTTTCTATCACACAACATAACACACATGCAGAAGTGCAGCCACATACAAAACATTTTTCTATCACACAACATAACACACATGCAGAAGTGTAACCACATACAAAACATTTTTCTATCACACAGCATAACACACATGCAGAAGTGCAGCCACATGAAAAACATTTTTCTATCACACACAACATAACACACATGCAGAAGTGCAGCCACATACAAAACATTTTTCTATCACACAACATAACACACATGCAGAAGTGCAGCAACATGAAAAACATTTTTCTATCACACAACATAACACACATGCAGAAGTGCAGCCACATACAAAACATTTTTCTATCACACAACATAACA